GTACTACAATGGTGGACTTAAACAAGAGCTGCACAATAAGGCTAAATCAAGCATTCTAAAACTATTTAATCCTTGTGGCATGCAACCAGTGGCGGATCTTAATAGAGGCTGGGGGGTCATGGCCTCCCCGGTTTTAAGCCTAATGCCTTACATATATAGTTTTATTTAAAAAAAAATCCATTGTCATTATATTTGTTAATTTGGCCCCCTGCTAGAGTTACAAAATTTAGTTATAAACCAACAAAATCATCCGAAAATCACTGATGAAATCAAAAATAAAATCTTTGATAAAATAACTAATAGAATCAAAAGAATCGTATTACATTAGGAAACTCATACAACTAAGAAACTATTTTTAAACTCTATAAAACAAAATCAAAGGTACAAAATTATTAACACAAGATTTTGAGTTTAAGAAAATAATAAAGATCCTGAAATTTCGAAGCCGGAAACATCCATCTCACCGGAATAACGTCGTTGACCAACTGCATCTCACCCATATGTCTTTGCCGCCACTTGCCGGACCACCCCTTTTCCATCGTCAGCTTATCGATTCTTCGTCTTGCTCTCTTTTCTTTGTCATTCTCTCTGCCTGCTACCGACGACCACTCTTCCTTTCCAATCTACTCCCCAGGTTCCACAAGAAGACTACACCGGTAATTTTTTTTCCCTTTCTCTCTCTAATTCTCTTGAGTCTTATTCCCTCTCTTGTTTTATGTATGTGAGTCATCTACTTTAGTACTTGTCTTGAGATGATGGTGGAGGGCATATAGGTAGCACGCAGACTTTATCCGAAAAGTTTTTACCCTATTAATGATAACATTTGTTTTAAATTTATTGATATTATTTATTGGTTTTCTGTAACGACCCAAAAAATTTTGTTTTAATATTACTAAAAATCGCAACATCAACTATTTGATAATAAAACCATGAATTGTATGTCTCAAATGCCATAGTAAATGTATCAATTCAAAACTGTAGTTAATATCATATCGAAATATCTAAATGAAACTCCCAGGAATAAACTGCAACTGTGGTGTGTGCCATGTCATCAATCCGAGCTCTTCCCCTTGCTTACGAAAGTACTTGAAACCAAAACCTAAACTGTAAGCACAAAGCTTAGTGAGCTCCCCCAAACTACCACATACCATACAATAACATATAAAGCACATATTGGGCCTTGCTCACTGCATCGGACCGAAATCCGGACTAACTGGGGCCTTGCCCCCTGTATCGGATCGAAGTCCGGAAACTGCATCGGACCGAAATCCGGACTAACTGGGGCCTTGCCCCTTGCATCGGACCGAAGTCCAGCTAACTGCATCGGACCGAAGTCCGGACTAACTGGGGCCTTGCCCCCTGTATCGGATCGAAGTCCGGCTAACTGCATCAGACCGAAGTCTGGACTAACTGGGGCCTTGCCCCTGCATCATACCGAAGTCCGGAGCTGACTAAACATAACATAGCATATACATATCAACTAGCATGAACACATATACTTCATACTGCATCGGACCGGAGTCCGGAACACATAACATAAAACATGCTTGAATCGCAAAGACATCAAGCACTCTAACTACTGCATTGGACCGAGGTCCGGATGGAATGAAACTCACCTAAACTGCTGAACTCGACCCGTTCTTACTGGAACGAAACTCACCTAAACTGCTGAACTCGACCAATAACCCTCTGGCTGCTATCCGACGACTCTCCGAAATGCTGCTCCTCTAGCTCCCTGAGCTACCAATACCAATAACAACACTTAGCCTAAGCTGAACTCTAGAAGTCAAACTAAGTCAACTCTGGTCAAAGTCAAAGTGCTGGTCAACGTCAACCTTTCAGTTGACTCTACTCGCCGAGTCAACCCGAAAACTCACCGAGTTCCTAAACTCATAATCCTTCCAAATACCACTCAACTCGCCGAGTCACCCCAAGACTCGTCGAGTTCAACGATCTCCGAGTCCCATCCTGACCAAACCCACCAGGTCACCAATCAACTCACTGATCTGCGTCTTAACCAAAGAAGATTAGGTTTCTGCGACCAGACTCGCCGAGTCCAAGAACAGACTCGTCAAGTCCAAGGCAATCTTCAACAGACTCGACGAGTTGTTCTTCCAACTCGTCGAGTTCCTGCCCATCTTCATACAACTCGTCAAGTCCACCCATGTGACTCACCGAGTCGCTTTAGTTCTTAACCCATACAGTGACTTTTCGAGCCATGCAGGGGCTCCAAACTGTAGATCCACACTTCTAAGGCCCACCCTTCACGTAAAGTTGCAAACTTTACGTGAAACCAAGGAGTTATAGGCTTGAAACACTCTAGGGCTAGGGTTTGAGACAAACATGCTTCACCAATGCACCAAAGACTGATACTTTATGGGTTTCTAGGCCAAGACAAACCTAGATATGAAGTTCTCTTTGCTCACCAAGGCACAATACACGAATTAACCTTGGAAATGGCCCTAAAATGATAAAATCTAACTAGGAAAGGGGAGCTAAATAAATAACAGCCAAGGTATGAGCTTCATACCTTCAAATGATCTGAAATATCACACCAACTCAAAATCTAATGCCAATTCTTGAATCACCAAAGGTTCCTTTCTTCATTCTAGCTTCAAAGCACCCAAAAATGGCAAAGAAAGCTTGAGAGCTCTACAATGGAGGCTTAGGGTTTTGAGAGTAGGTAAAGGGAGTGATGGAGGCTGGGGTGGAGGCCTGCAATGATGCTTGAATAAGGTACCAAGTCCGGAAGTTAGGGTTTCCCAACCCAGACCAGACTCGCCGAGTCGGTCTCCCCGACTCGCCGAGTCGGTCACTTAATCCGCGACACGGGTCACGCTCCGACTCATCAAGTTCCTTCTTGGACTCGAAGAGTTGACTCCTTTGACTTAGGGCTTTTCTTTCCTTTCCTGGTCTTTCTGATTATGGGTGTTACATTTTCTATTATATAAAATCTTTATAAACACTAAAAACATAATCGATTAAAATCATAATATATTATGATTTTAATCGATTATGTTTTTGGTGTTTATAAAGATTTTATATAATAGAAAACCAATAAATAATATCAATAAATTTAAAACAAATGTTATCATTAATAGGGTAAAGACTTTTCAGATAAAGTATGCGTGCTACCTATATGCCCTCCACCGTCATCTCAAGACAAGTACTAAAGTATACGACTCACAGACATAAAACAAGAGAGGGAATAAGACTCAAGAGAATTAGAGAGAGAAAGGGAAAAAAAATACCGAAGTAGTCTTCTTGTGGAATCTGGGGAGTAGATTGGAAAGAAAGAGTGGTTGTCGGTAGCAGGCAGAGAGAACGACAAAGAAAAGAGAGCAAGACGGAGAATCGATAAGCCGACGATGGAAAAGAGGTGGTCCGACAAGTGGCGACAAAGACATATGGGCGAGATGCAGTTGGTCAACGATATTATTCCGGTGAGATGGATGTTTCCGGCTTCGAAATTCCAGAATCTTTATTATTTTCTTAAACTCAAATCTTGAGTTAATAATTTTGTACCTTTGATTTTGTTTTATAGAGTTTAAAAAATAGTTTCTTACTTGTATAAGTTTCCTAATGTAATACCATTCTTTTAATTATATTAGTTATTTTATCAAAGATTTTATTTTTGATTTCATCAGTGATTTTCGGATGATTTTGTGGGTTTATAACTAAATTTTGTAACTCTAACAGGGGGCTAAATTAACAAATATAATGACAATGGATTTAATTTTTTTAAAATAAACTATATATGTAAGGCATAAGGCTTAAAACCGGGGAGGCTATGGCCCCCCGGCCTCTATTAAGATCCGCCACTGCATGTTGCTTTGATTCAAGTTAAATGTAGTTTAATGACCATTTGAATTGCATGAACTTGTTTACCTAATAGTTTATTATCATTAAAATGTTAGAGCTAGAATTAATCAGATCTTAGATTAAGTAATAAAGGTAACAACTTTAATTGTGTTGGAGAACATTAATTTAATCATAATTATGTTTGGTAATTTGTCTTAATCATAGATGATTATGTAGATATATCTTATATATCCCAATTATCATTAATAATCAATTTTGTATATGATCATTATATGGTAGTTCATCAATTTGTGAAAGAAAACATGTACGTAACGTTTCTAAAATCTATGTTGCTTCTATAATATCAATTTTGTGATATAAATAGAAACTCCTTTGTCAAATGAACACGCTTTAATGATTTCAGTGGCCCTACCTTCTACTTTCTTTTACAATTTTTTTGTTATAAACTATTATATATCATATATATACGTAAACGACTATAAATTAAAACTTATCACAATAAACGTGGCTTCTCTTAAAAAACATTATGGAACTAATCAAGTTTAAAAAAATGGTCATAATAAAAATAATCACATATGAAATAAAATATCATGGCACTTTTTACAAAATTTGAACTCATGAAATAACCCACGCGGTAAAAAGGTATATCATTTTGTAGGATTTATTGTCAAAATGCACTCACATAATAGTTCTTTCACCGTAAGAGTACTCATGTTTATTCATATAGTTTGTCATTATTAAAGCGGCATATTCTGAACAAACTGTTTTCATAAAAGTATTGCCATGTTTAAAATTTTATCTTTAATTATGATGTTTTTAATTAATACTTAAAAAGGAGAAAAGATAAGTACACAAAAAATTCTTATAAAATGAAAAGGAGAGAAAAAAAGGAAAGTGGGCCGTGTTTAAAAAGGATAAAAAAAAATTTAGAAAACATTATTATAATTTTTAACATTCATTTTTATTGGTGGTTTTTAATGAATTATTCACACAAGAAACGTTATATAACAGAAACAATAGTCAATCTCTTGCAAGTTGCAATCTAAGTTATCTAACCCTCAAATCCTTTTAGGTTTTATCTCAAACAATGATTAAATATTTTTTTAATGTAGAATTTACCACATGTCAATATTTTATAGGATGTTACGATTTATTTGGATAAAACTTGTTATCTAATAAATCTACATCTGCTCATACACATAAAAGTATAAAGTTCGAACCCTTTTTTTTTCTCTCTCTTACAAATAGTGTCAAATATCTACATATTTTCACATTCAATCTCAACTTTTCATATTTTTGATCATTTTAATTTTATTTTTACGACAATCCAACATATCTAAATGTTATTTTGAATCTTCAAGACTCAAGATTCATGCAAACCTTCAATACTATGAAACCTCATAATCCAAATACTATAATTCTTGAAAACTCAAGACTCATCTAAATTTTAATTTGATAGAATCTTAACCGAAGATTCAAAGTACTATCACTGAACATCAAACCTATCAAAAATATTGAAAGGCAACCAAAAGGCAATAAATAAGAAGCTAGTGTTACGTTTTATTGTCTATTATTACAACCAACATATTTTATCGATCACATATATAGATTTCATGATTACAAATGAAGTTTACACTATTTTCCATGTTTTATTAACCATTGATAATGATTTCTTCTAAATCCTAATGAATTTCGTTGTGTTTATCAAGTTTTGAATATATAGAAGCTAAAAAAAACTCCCTTTTTCCAAAACCCCACGTTTACATGGATGTCTCATATCAAGATTTGTAATTGTAAGACTTTGCTAGAGAAAAACACACGTCCTTTTGCCTCTTGTATTCATTATATCTCTTAAAGAAATAACCAAGATAATCAAACTCAATCGGTGACATTTTCGCCTGTCAAATAATATATCAACCCATTAACACAAACCCTTACCCATAATAATAACTTACATTTTTTATCCATTAATATTAACGCACATATTTATGTGTAAATAAACGTGTCATCGAATATGGATTAGGAAAAGTCAGAATGGTTTGAGTACTACCTGGATCAAAGCCCATAAAGCCCAATACAAATGAGAAGCCAACATATAAAGGCTAGTTTCCACATACAGTGTTTCCACATCATTATCCGAAACCTAAATTTATATTTAAATGTTAGTTATTATTTCATTTCTTTATTGTAGCATTGTAGTTTGAAATTTTGTACCTCATTTGGTTTTTCAGGGTTTAAGTAGTGTTTGAAAAAATGATATTGTTCATCCTTATTTGGGTACCTACATTACATAATTACTTAATCACCACATAAAAATATAAAACTAGTTTTATATTTATTGATTTAAAATAAGGAAGATGTTGTACAGTGTGTAGTCACATTCGTATCCAGCATATTCATTGAAGTGATTTCCAATGTCAAAGCCTCTATAACTGTAGGATCCGTATTCAAAATCTATGAAGTAAAGTTTCTCTGTTCCAATAGGTAAATTTTTTTTAAAAAAAAAAAATGATTAGAAAACTATATTATGAAAATAATAATATAATTTTAAGATACCTTCATTATCATTAAACATAAGATTCCCAGAAAGCAAATCGTTATGAGCAAACACCACAGGGGATTTAAGATGACCTGTCAATTCCTGTCTCATAATCACCAAACATTTCTAAAAAAATAAACTCTACTTCTTTTAAATTTTCAAAACTGATATTTAACATACAGATTTTTTTATATGTGATTATTAGTTATAAAAGATAAAGAAGCTACCTTGAGTTCAAGAACTTCAACTTCAACTTCTTTAAATGAAATCTGTGTGTATTTTTTCTGCTTTTCACAATCATCGAAAGTAAGCTTGGATGCTGTAATAAAAACAAAATTCAGCAATTTATAGATAGTATAATGAGAAAAAAATATATATAAAAAAAAAAATTACCTTTTTTATAAAATTTCAAAATGTCATTCCACAGCTGGGGTTCCTTGGATCCTGGAACTTTTACTTGATGGAAACTATTAAGTTGTTTTGCAATTTCACCTGCCAACTTTGGATTTCTCATATCTGTAAAATACATATTTGAAAAATAAAAAATTATATTTTGAAAATTTTAACCAATTATAGCATTACTAGGATATTATAATTATAATTTGTTTCTCACCTTTTGTTTCTAGAGTACGTGCATGTATAAAGGATTGCACCATTCCATTTTCAAATACTCCTAATAATTTGGGACCAAATCCAGCAGCTGAGAGGTGATGAAGAGCCTATTCATATGAATTACAAAGTGAAAATGTAGAAAAAAAATAATATATATTGCATTTTAATTTTATGTCTCAAAAGTCAGATAATAATTAGTAATTACTAACCTGTAGTTCTCTTTCACGATCGATAACGTATTCAGTATTTGGACCATATAATCTAACTGTTACATGAACCCAATTCCCATTTTCTTCTTTTACAGATACCTTAAGTACTATAGTAACAAAAATAAGATTATGAATGATAGATACATGTGTACAATACATATTTGTTAAAGATACCTACAAAGATTTGTAATTCCACCAGAAACTTTCTCAGTAGAGAAGTGTGATTCATCTAAATTTGACCACTGCTTGAAAAGATCCTTGCAAAGTTCTCTGACAAAGTCAAATTCAATCACATAATAAGATTAGAGGAGTTAATGCTAAGTTTAAACTGTTATTGGGAAATTGATGTGGTTTTTAAATGATAGAAGAATCTAATTAATATAATGGAAAAGGAATTAACAGATAATGTTATGTTTTTACCAATTTATTTGACCAAAGGGGAATAGGATTATAGGGGTAGTTGATTTCTACATCAAATGTTGGAGAAACATCAGCAAACTAACTTAATACTCTAGTAGAAAAATCAGCAAACGTGTTCTAGTTTATCAATTTAGTTGACAAAAGGGGGCATTGAATGAGTCAATGAGTTTTATATATATTGCGTGTGGAGTTCATTTTTCACTTCAAGCATTTGGGAAGCAATAGCAAATCAAAGTAATTAATACGATAGAACAAGTCCAACATCAAGCATTAGCTCTGATTTACAGTTTCTGTAGGAATCAGCGTAAGTATTTTCTTGCAATTTGTGATTATTAGAACATCAGTTTTCATAACAATCATTCAGACGTGAAACTGGTTAAGCTTATATTGGTTTCTAGTTCATCTTTCATATCGAAATTGAGGAAACAATGACAGATCAAAGTAATTAGATATTAATTTAAGAATCAGTAAAACGATAATACAGCTTTCCTAGCAATTAACGTAACCAGAAATTCAGTATTTTCAATTACTAAAACATCAGATTTTCATAGCAATCGTCCAGACATGAAACTAGTTAAATCGTCTCCAGAATTCATGGACGCTTTCGCTAATTACATACTAACTCTCTATTAACAAAATTACAGAACTGAAGTGATTTCTTCGTTCGTTTCATAGTTAAATTAACCTCAAATCATGTCAAATGCATCATATAATACATGGACGTTTCCGCCGATTAACATCATAAACTCTCTCTTATAAAACATAACAGAAATGGAGTGAATTCATTCATTAATTTCATAATCAAATTAAGCTCAAATCATGTCAAATGCATCACGAGAGCTTACACGAGTTGAGGTTTCATCTCCGGCAAAGGAAGGGTATGATCGACAGCGAGTGAAGAACGAACCACCTCAATGTCACACCCATTGCGAACTTCATCCGAGAATTCTATGGCGTTCAAGAGGTTCACTGCACCCATGCTTACCACCGTCTTCTCCTCTGCAAATCTCCGATGCTTCTGCGTGTGGTGTGAAGAAATTCAAATGTGGGGTTACATAGATTGCGAAGCATCACACCAGGGGGCTGTTTTTTTATATAACATTCCATTGGATAATTTACAATAGCTGCCCTTACAATTTAGTGTATATTTCATATACACCCTTATAGTTAAAATTAAACTATTTTTAGTCCTTTCATTATGAATGTGCAAAATGCAAAACTAAACTAAATAGTTTGGCAAACTAATCAAAAATTTTTAAAAAAATGTAAAATTGCATAAAAACTAATGTTAAAATATCTACAAGTTATTTGAACTAACTTTTAGATTAAAAGCTTTTTGTTTATAATAAAAACTTTATACCACAGTCCACAAACAAGATTTTTTCTTAATTTGGATTTGTCTTAAAAGCTAAAAACTTAATTTTGATGTTTGATTTTATCCTGAATGAACACATTATTTTGTTTTTTTATGTAAATAGTTTGATTTTGATGTTTGATTTTGAGCCAACAAATATAATGGTTGTGTAACAATGTCAAGCTAAGTGAATCACGTTACTAGTTGGAATACACGACACGTCTAACGATAAATTCTTCACAAATCACATAGAAATATAGAATGGGCATTTATATATGTCACATATAAGTGAATATGAAAGAATATTATTTTATTTTTATTTAAATATATATTCGTTAAAACGACCATTTAATTTTAATACACTAATATTTAATAATTTCTGTATTGTATTTACGCAAGAACTAGTTTAAAATATAAATAGAACTATTGTTAGTCCAATTTTTTATGCGCTACATGAATCATAAAAACAATGTGATCATAGTGTTCATCTGAACAAGATATTCTCATAAATAGAATATTTGAAAATATAGATATTTCTATCATTATTAATTCTAGGGTCCAAATTTATCTCTACATTTCTTTTATTTAATTTAGATTTCAATTCTTTGGATCTTGGTCAACTTTAAATACTAACCACGTTTTTCGCAACCATATTTCACACCACCAATTGAATTATAAAATAAATATGATTCCAACATGTTAACGAATGGACAAGAAGTTATAACCGAAGGAATTTTGCCAACTTTACTAATAAACTTAAAAAAATAAATTGTTATTTATGTTTGACCGAATAAAATACCTAATTCTAGGTTTATTGATGCTTTTGTTCGAGCGGAGCTCGTTTTTCGTTAAATCCAGAAAACAAAGTAGCTTGATAAACACAATCAAATGTAATGTTGAGCATATGTAGTCGATGAGTCGTGTAGACATCAATTCAATTTAATTAGTTTTGTCTCACAAGTAAAAAAAAATGATGTATTTGTGTATATGTGGATATTTGTCGATGAAAAAAAATTAGGTTTTACTTTTCTATTTAAAAATTGTTAGAATTTCGGGGTAATAAAGACACTTGAATATTCTGAGAATTATGAATCCATTTTCAAATCAAAGTATTTGGGTAGTACTACTTAATTTTTAATTGGATAAGACTCAGAAGAGAAAAGAACAAATAATGAAAATGTATGAATTTCATGAGTACCAGAAAACAGATCAAAAATTGGTTAAAAACCTTATTTGTCTGAAAACTATCAAAACTGTTATAAAACAGTTTTCTCAACAGTCAAAACTATCATAAATTCATGCTGACCTGTAACATCCAAAATTTTAAGCCAAATTTAAACTTTTCCAACAATTAAAACCAAATAGTGTTATACAAATTGTTTTCAAACTATTATTTATCAGAGTGTCCCAGAAACTAAAATCATAAGGATGAGGAGCGGTACGGTCACGCTTTTGCCTTTCCACAATCTTCTGATGTACCTGAAACAATAAACTGAAATTGTAAGCCTGATAGCTTAGTGAGATGCCCCAAAATACCAATACTACACCGATAATACCATATCAATAACAGATAACAACAACATACATACTTGACCTTTAGCCTGATTGGACCGTCTTGCAAGGCTTATAGTCTAACTAGATCTATCTCGAGCCTTCAGTATGACTGTATCGTCATGCAGGGCTTACAGTCTATCCGGACCGCTCGTCGGGTGTGTTGGCCTTCAGCACAAAGCAGACTGCCTCAACCCAATCATCAAGCAAATAATCATGTGCACATAAATGACATAAACCGGCATACATATATCAGATATGACTATCCCACAAATCAGCTATCATAACAATCACTTATAAACAGAATACCGACCTAACAAGGTCGCTAACATACCAATCCTATCATCCTAATGATTCACAATGCATAACAACATCCTGTCTATTTGGATACTGATCTAACAGATCATAACCATATACAACATACTATAATCAGAATAACAACCTAAAGGGATGGCCTTGGTGCCTTAGACCCTAGTGATATAGTGAGGATAACTCACCTCGCTAGCTGCTCGGAATAATACCGTCCACTCCTCCAGATATAGCTCCAACAGCCTCGCCTGTACCTATGAGTGACTCACTAAATAATTACTCAATTACCAAAATGCCCTTGGAAGGCACAAGACAATCCACAATCAAAGTCAAAGTCATTGGTCAATGGTCAACAGTCCATGTTATCCTATTGTTGAGCGCAACTTCCCCTCATCGAGTCCCTAATGATTCAAGAATTACCTGACTCGACTCGTCGAGTCTCTAACAGACTCATCGAGTCAATACGCGACCCAGTGCTTGAAAACCCAAATCGACTCACCGAGTCATCTCCCAGACTCGTCGAGTCCACACGGGACCAATTCAAACGAAAACTCTATTCGACTCGTCGAGTCATCTCCCAGACTCGCTGAGTCCATATGATTATTCCCATGATCAAGTGATACAAAACCATTCTTTCGTTCCAACCAGTAGATCTAGGTCCCTAGAGTGTATTAGCAACGTAAAGTTGCTACCTTTACGTATTTGCATGCCTTAAAATCCAAATCCAAGCTTGAAATGAAGCTCTACTCATAAAGGAGGGTTCTTTAATGACCATACAAGGAACTTTATGAACTTAGGACCCAAGGGAGGTTCAGATCTGAAGTTTCAACTTCAGATTTAGCTCATACACCACACTCCTTTCATGAATATGCTAAAGAAAACCCTAACTCCATCCATGAAAGGTTCTAAGAAGAGAGAGATCAATATGTCAGCTGGTTACCTCCAAAACGTTCCCAAACTGAGATGTATTCAAGATCTACACAAATTTCCTTGATGCTAGCTGCTTGATCTACAGGTTCCATTTACTAAATCACTTCCCAAGCTCCAAAACACTCACAAAGCTCACACACACGAAATTAGGGTTTCTAGCTCTCAAGGGGTGATAAGGGCAGTGGGAGGCGCTAATGATCCACTATATATATATATAGGGTGCAAAAACCCTGAAATTTAAGGTTTCCTCTGCCAGCTCCTACTCATCAAGTCCCCTTCCCGACTTGTCGAGTCAACTCATTAAATGGCGTGTCCCAACCCGCTTTTACTCGACGAGTCATAGCATCAACTCGTCGAGTAAGTCTTAAAACATGAAATTTAAATTGAACCATTATGATACCTGAAAATTGGAGCGTTACATGACCTGACAGCTCGACCGCAGCCAGGGGCAGTCGCCCCTTGGACCCCGCTCCCAGGAGCGCTGCTCCCGAATCCCTGTTCGTTTAGGGGCTTCGCCCCTAAATGACAGTCTACTTTTAATCTTGAATAAACTTAAATAAGTGTACACTCCGCACCTGTCTTACTTGTTTAATATTCATCAAGATTGATTTTTGGTCAACAAGTCAACCCATTACAATTAAATACAATTAGTGAAACAAATCACCAACACAAATAATGTATATTGCCAAAGAATCTAAACAGTGAATTTAATAAGATTTAATGTTCGGTTCAACAAACAAAATATTATGTAATGAATGCAGGATGTCGTTGATGATTTTTTAATTAAATTATATATAGAAATAGTTGGATGGGGTTGTTGTTGTGTTAATAACCCAATTTTTTTCCTAACTATATCCATATTTGTTATGAGAAATTAAATATTTTTCTATCTTTTTTTCATATCTATATTCTTGTTTATGTAAAATAATGATATATGAAATCCATTAATTCTTTCTTAACGTTCACTCTTGATTTTAACGCTTGCATTGACTTTCAGAGTAGAATATTACTAAGAACAAAATGTAGGATGATATTTGATTTCTCATTTGTCATTTGTTGTGAAAGATGGTATATTGTCCACGTGATCAGATCTAAACATACAAACTCAATTAAACACAAAAGCATGGAAGCCCTAAGTACAATAGACAAGAACAGACGGCTCTGATACCACTGAGTTATGGATAATCTAAAAGGTCACGAAGACGCACAAACAAAAGCAACTAAAACATTATTCTCATAAGCCAACCATAGATATAAGTTTTACCAATCAATTGCAACTTAAATAAACAGAAAGAAACTTAGAATCTTACATTTGTAGTCATTGAAACTTTTGTATATCTTGATTGAATAATGAGTGATAAGAGCCCATTAAAGAGCTATTTTTTTGTTGGCACACCCAAGGAGTGGATCGCCAACATCTGAAAACACCCCATGCACGAACACACTAAATGACGCAAACCAGAAAGTTGGATCGAACCTTACGCGTCACGTAGAACCATCTACATGTCGTGTAGACGACTATGATTTAAGGTTTCGAGAAGTGAGAGGTGTTGGATTAAGTGTCTAAGCCAATAACTAAATTAGTATAATCTTGAATTATTAGCTAGGTCTTTTTGGGTTGCCCTCAATCCTCGTAATTGTTTGGATTAGTTTTTAGAGAGAGAGTGAGAGAGAGAGAGAGAGAGATAGAGAGAGAAAGAGAGAGAGAGACTGATTTATTAATTTATTATTTGATTAATAAATTAATTAGAAAGCAAAATAAATAACTTATTGGTATATTATGATAATGATATATTAATTAGAAATAGTATTATTTAAATTAAAAATTAATTGGAATTAATTTTAGGATTAATTGGATTAATTAAAAATGGAAGGACTAAATGTGACAATGTTTAAAAATTGAACATTAAGCAATTCTAAAATCT